TTATGTAAAGAATGATGGTCAGATGTACAATTCGTGTGACATGTTTCATTTGACACTATTCTCATTTTCTTGGAGTTTAATACAGTTTGATTATCTGGTTTCATTGATACATTTGTTCATTTGACACATTATATAATCATATTATAACATATCATATACAAGTAATGGTCAAAATAATAATAATTTAAGAAATATGTCAGTTTCTATACCACAAAAAAAAAGACAATTTGAGTCATACCTTAAAAGAAAAATTCAAACAACAATGCATGTGATGAGTGAGACACCTGCTACTATTCCAACAACGAAATCATAGTTTGGACCACATTAAAGTAAAGTAGAAATACATGTACCCATTTTAGTAGATAATTAAGGTTATGTAATGATCATCAATGGCGCAGCATAGTGGTTATTTACTACAAAAAGCAGTATTACTTACAACTACTCAAAGAAATGGAATGTCTGTAATGTAAAACCTAATGTGCGCCTGTCCAAAGTAAGAAACCTCTAGACTTTGTTTGTCTATTGTTTTTGTAAATTTTGATTCAGTAGTATATTTCGGGGTTTAGTGGGTCGTTCATTTCGCTGAACTAGTATACATTATTGGTCAGGGACCATCTCAAGCCCATCTCCGGGTGCAGGATGTTGTCGCTGCGTTGAAGTCTCATTGGTGGCCTTAGGGTGTTTTCTGCTCCTCGGTCGTGACGTTGTCTCTTTGGAATATTTCCCGTTTCCATTCTCTATCCAATAAATAAATGCATCAAGTGCATGTAGCTGTTTTTGAAATTAAATTTGAATTCGTCAGTGCGATTTAGTTGATAGTATCACATGCTCAAGACCATTTTTTAGAATAAATTTGTTATTATTGTTATCGTAATACAAATTGTGTTACATCTTTTAAATTGTTTTTTTTAGAGTTTACATCATGATACACTACACTAGATATTGCATTTACATTTATTTCGATTTAATCGAGGATTTTCTAGTATTCATAAGCTTATTATAGAGTTTGTATTATTCACTAAAATTTCATTTTTATTCAGTTTCCAAATAGATGAATGAAGGAAACCAATATTCATAACATTTATTTGTGCATGCAATTATTTATTTCGTTCTTCTTTATTTAGAATTTGAATTTAATCAAGTCTATTCACCAGTCGCGTTATATAAATAGCATTCGTTTTTCTAAAGTAATCAAACAGTAATACAATAAAAGCAAACAACAAAAGCAAGACAACAAAAATTAACAATATATGCAATATTTAAAGTGGTCGTCCAGGATGAAAGTAGCAAGATTTAGACTGCCACCTGAAAATTCTGCTACCTATAGAACTAAAACATATTGTATTGTTCGAAATGACAAGTGGATAAGACACATATTTTACAACCAGGTAATCTGTAAATCAATAAGTATGGCCATTAATTAATAAACACATCAAATATTTTTTATAGAAAAGAAAAGCGCTTCCTACGCATGAAATTATTAAACGTGTTGTTTTCAATTTTTTATACTAACAAATGATTTAGCAATAACGACATGAAAACAAAAGGAAATGTGTTGAAACGAACCAATGGATTTGAATCGACTGCATCTTTTTTGTAATATAAATAAAAAAAAAATGTACCGATTTGCAGTGTGTAATTTTTAAATGCTCAAATCTAGTCTTGTGTAAATATAACTTTAATGATAAGAAAGTCGTGCGTTTCATATAATTATCAGTGGAATATATAAAAAGGATGTAAAGTACACAATAATGGTAAGTAGTGATTTATAATTTTTATTCCTTCATTAAAATCCATTGAATCGTTATTGATTACATAGCATAACAGTAGTTATCCTCAAGATCATTCGATTATTGCCATTATATAGAAATATTCTTAATCGTATGTATTTTATACAGTTAAGTTTGTCAAGGAAGAAAAAAAAAGTTTAATGCATTTTATATATTTTTTAAAAGATAAACAAATAACATCATTTTCATCAGTACTCAAGGCATCATCACCAAATAAATATTACACCTATATACCACTCAAAGAATAGCTGCAAGGATTATTAGCGTGCAGAGAGTGTGGCACTATCTCGACACCAGGTTTTTGTATCATAGAACAGGCACAAGGAATTGTAGTTGGGTTTATATAGTTTTTGTTCTACCAGATGAAATATATTCAAAAGTAAAAACAAACAAAATACAAAAAAAAAAAGAATCTGTAGAAGTGGTTGGACACACATCATATGAATAGACCGACTTACCGTGAAATTGTGTTGTTGTTTCATCACCTGGAATAATATTGATATCTGTAATAAATAGTTTGCATGTTACAGTGTTTATTTTACTATAAACGCTTAAGTTAATAAATCCCCACCCCTTGAAAAACCTCAAAACTTTACAAAACAAACATGCAATAAAAACATGGAAACAGAAAAATAATAAAAAAAAAAATAAACCCAGTCAACATATTTCTGAATTTCGATGGACAAACTTTAATTAATGGAACCTGCAATGAGATTCTGTACCTTTAAAGCATAGACGAAAATGTTTAACATGTTAAAATGCAATGCATGTCTTCCATTTGGTACATAGTCCTACTATAAAAAAGTAGACTTATTTAAAAATCTGTTTTGATTTTCTACGGAAATATCAAAATAGAACTATATAAAAGTATTTTAATTAGACAATCAGTAAAACTATCAGTTCTTTCGTGATGTTTTGTATATATTGCACTAGCATATAAGGTTGTATTCATTTGACAGTAAAGAAGGAATATTCAAATAAAATTAGATAAAGAATTACATAGCGATGTGATAACTAAGTGATGTATTTGGGTAAGACAAGAGTCCTTGACCAATCTGCTATTTCTGTGAGAAACACGACGTCTTTCACATATGGAGCCGGGTCTGTTAACCCTTCAGGAACATATGAGATCACCCCCAGTTTTAAGTTGGTGCCGTGTTGTTCAGTTGTTTGTTTTAATGTTGTGATTTGTATATTAATGTTTATCTTTTGGTCGTTTTTCGTTTTTTGCCAAGGGGTTGTCAGTTTTTTTTTTCTTTTTTTCAACTTACGAGTTTAAACATCCCTTTGCTATAGGTCGACTCTTTTCTACAATTGCAGTACACATGGAAATTTCACTCTCTACCGATCTTATACGTTAAACAGACTTCAAATTCACGTGATTGTCAAAATACAGTTGTTCAAAAAATATCTAACTTTTGAAATGGCATAAAAATCATGAAAAAAAAATTGTTTTGTAAAGTTCACGTGAATTTCTTGTCATATTCGTGTAAATTTCACATGGACAAAAATTGCATTTGTATTTCAAAGATACTACCTATGTACGGTTTGAAAAAAGAAGTTTCGAATATAATTTGTTGTTCCTGCTTTTTTATATTCAGATATTACATTGATTATTGTTGGCGACAGTAGTTTAACGATGTTAAGATCTCAGAAATCGGTTAAGAAAATACAAAACATGGCAACAACCACAGAGAGTATCGCATGGACTTAAAAAAAAAAAAAAAAGAAAAAAAAAAGAAAGAAACGAAACTGGATTCGGGTGCCTCCACCATGATAGTTTGAGCTACTGTCGATATCACTTGAATAGGTTGATAAACTACCAGACTCGGATTCTACATTACCGCCACCTAAAAGATCTACAGTGAGTTTCTCTTATTATTTAAAACTAAACAGTCATTGGTAGACGTCGGGCAGAACTACGAACCCAAAGATGTTTTTTTTTCTGTTCGGTTTTGCATATTTTGTACATGTTTCTTGCTAATTTAAGGGGACAATTTCTAAAAATATAATCGAATCCTTATCATTTTATTTGCAGAAATTAAAGTTTTTGTGATATTTGATTATTGTCCAGGAGATTGATCTAATTTGATTTAAATTTTGACGAAACGTTGTCTTTAAGGTGGTATTAGTGTTTAACTTCGACATGATCTGTTCAGATGGTATTAATAGGCTGATCAACACAAGGACGTCACATTAATAGGATAATAATAAACATCATCAAACCTATTAAAGGTAAGCCTCATGTAATAGGAATCACGGGTAAAATCTCTGGTCTGTTCACATCAAAGACTTAAAAAAATGTATTTGGTGTTTCTTCGCTAATTTAAAATAAGAAGATGTGATATGATTGCCAAAGAGACAAGTATCCATCAAAGTTCAAAAGAAGTGGATGTAAGCAATTATAGGTACTCGTACGGCCTTCAACAATGAGAAAAACCCATACTGTATAGTTGGCTATAAAAAGCTCCGACATGAAAATATGAAACAATTCAATTGAGAAGACTAACGGCCTTATTTATAACAAAACAATTATACATCCCGCCATTGTGTTATTGTGCTAATTATACATCCCGCCATGTGTTATTGTGCTATGGTCAATTCTGAATTATTGTCTTTCATTTTTGCTTATGTACTTTGTCTTTATGCCAATTTGTGTTTCTTTCTTGAAACAGTTATTTGTTTTTCTAGTGATTAAGATTATATTACAATGTTGACTGCTGTACCCAATTTTTCGACTTTTTTACCTATTATGTCTGTTTGTTACATCACACATTGTTGTAATTATAATGGAATCAATGCGACTATTGGGTGGGAATATAAATGTTTTAGAACTCATGCTTCATATGCCATTATGTATTAGACTTACGGCAGGAATTGACTGTTTATGTAAATGGAAAAGGTATTGTCAAGCTACATTTAAGTTAGAAAAAATGTGTACATGCAAACAAAGTGATATGAAATGATTTCAAATAACCAGCAACATTTATGTATATTAAGGTGTAAGAAAAAGTAATAATCAAAAGAAGTAGTTTGATGTTTTACTTATATAAAAAATGTGGTATGATTGCCAATGCGTTAACTCTCTACCAGAGACAAGATGACGTAGAAAATAGCAACTACAGGTGACACCATACGGCCTTTAACGGCCACATGTTTTTTATCAATTCAACACACATGTACGATACATGTACAAATATATATAAACTTACCACGAAATGCTTCACTTCTGTCCATTTCTGTGGAATGGCCCAGCTCATCATTATAATGGCCCGGTGTATTATTGCCCCCTAAAATGGGTCAAGAGTAACATATTTCAAACCATTTAAAGATGCATTCATAAACATGTTTATTGACTATATTATCAATTATGAATATTCTATTATCATCTGTTCTTTTACACGGGAACATATGAATTAAACTCTATGGATATTTATTGTACGAAACACAGTTATTTCTACTTCTAACGATCTGGTTTCACATTTCGAGGAAATGTGAAACCATGCAAAAGACCTTACAGTGACCTACAGTTGTAAAATTCTATGTCATTCGGTCACTGGTTGAGAGTTGTCCCAATGGCAATCATACCACATGTTCTTTATTTTTTTACTCATATATTTTTCTCAAACGCGACCTATGCATTCATAAATTTAGGGGTAGTTCATTCCGAGGAAATGATGAAACTAAGAGTTCAATGCATTAACTATTTCTATTTATTTTAAGAAATACGCACGACATAATGTAATTTACCAATAATGAATGATAATAATAAAACTTTGAATGGCATTTTTATACTGTATGTTTCGAGTTGATATCATTAAAACAAACCAAAAGCTATATGCCACCTAAAGGCTTTAGTCAATATTCAGTGCCTTATTTCATATACATGTAAGACTCAGATCGACGTCCACCGGGAACCTATGATCGAGGTCCGTTCCTCAAATCATGTGGTGCCATGACTTTACACCAAAACTATTACTGGGAGTCTCCTCTTTTCGATGTCTTATATGATTTGATCATTTGTTCCCACTTTGATTTTTTTTTAATTTTCTCTGAAGAGATCGTTTTGTTTTCGTATAATGCTGTCCAAATATACAAATATTTCTTTTAATGTTTTATACACATCACAATGGCTTATGTAAAGGAACAATAAAGGTTAAAGCTTCTCGTTGTAAAGAATGAACAAATTGAAAAAAAAAAACGAACATGGAAAAATGACAACCGGTCAACCACCGACAGCAGATTCTGCACTTGGACAGAAATATTTTGCGTACATGAAACACGTCGATACACTCAATCTACGTACGATGTCTCATTCCTTTCATATTCATATGAAGAAAGGAGATATGGATATGTGTCAATGAGATAGCAACCCAACGACAAAGATATCCGTACAACCCCGGAATCATACAGTCGGCAACAATAGACAGCTATCTATACAATATATAAAACTCTAAATTGAAATAAGGAAATAAAGAAGTAGGACCAATTTACCAAGAACGTATTCCACGCCAGGGGCATTTTTAATGTCATTTTATCTTATTTCAATGATTAGTATCAAAACTTAATATGTCTATACTTTAAGTATTTAATACTGGTTCTCTGTAACAATTTTTACTCTTATATAGGGAGTGTGGCACGCATGGTCATGGATTTTCTTCAAACTTCACACACTTACCAGTCTTGATGAAATAAACAAAAAATGGCAAAATTTTGGTTGCTAAGCATATCGGTTGCCATAGCAACCGATGACCAGTTTTACCTCTTCTGAATATCTATGATTTTAAGCTGAAAAAGGCTATTTTCAACATAATTTTTCATCATAAATAATTAAGAGAATGAATGTTGTTTTATGATTTTATTAAAAATATGCATTTTATTGATGTAATTTAATAACTGATATTTTCATATTCTATTTCAATCATAATCACATATACCCCCCTTTTTATGTGGTTTGCATTAGGTAAAAAATACCCTTTTGAGGTCATTTTTGAATGCTCACCATAATTGTTTGCGGACACCTGAGTTAAAGTCAACCATGAATTCATAAATATCATAGCCTTATCTTATCAATGATGCTAAAAAGTAATGGGGAAGTATGTCTCAATATTTTGTTACCATGGATACAAAATGCTTAGTTTTCATTTTTTCAGAAATTTTTTTTTTTTGAAAAATTTGAAAAAAAAAATTTAAAACCTAATTCTGCAATCAGAAAAAAAAATAAATATACAATATGTAGAAATTATTGTAATCATCAAAATTTTAGACATATTCATATATAACGGTATTATAGTTTTAACTGTGTTGCTATGGAAACAATTTCATTTTGATACACAAGTTTAAAACAATTTTGAAAAAAGTTTCAGTTAGTTTCTTAAATGTGCACAAAAGTAGGAAAACTAAAACACTTATTAAGTTTCACTGTATACACACATTTGTATATATAAATGATTTTGCTAGTATAGTATTTTTATAATGGTGTTACCACTTGAAGGAAACAAACACAATTTCTCTATTCTGGATAAAAGTGCTGTTTATAAAGAAATTTCAGTCTGTTTTCATGATCATAAAAAATATACAAGAAAAAAAATTACTCAATTTAGAAAAAAATAAATAAAGTCATTTAAAAAATTACATACTCAATTGTACAATATTTGCCATTGAATGTGTTGCCATAGAAACAAGTAGTTCATTTGCAAAAATACGGATAAGTACTAATTTTTACAAATGCGTTTTAATGAACTTCGATACATATAACAATGAATGTATACAGTTTTTGTAAAAATGAAATGATCGATTAGTTATGGTTTGCTTTGTGTCCAGTGTCAAATATCTCATGCATATTTCAGAAGAGAACAAAATCAATAAATTTAATAAGAACATTAATGGTCCAGTGCTAGTCTACTGACCCAAAATTAATTAAAGGCAATAATTTGATACACATCAACACAATAAAAAATAGAACAAAAAGAGTCAGACGTTGGTCCTCTAGGTAAATGATAATTGACCATCTAACCTTGCTTTCTATAAAGGAAAAAATACCTATGTTATGAGCTGTTTATTTTTCTTATTCATTATTAAACTCAATGTTGAAATGGCAAAGCATGTATAGCTATACGTTTTGAATATTATTGTATTATTGGATGATGAGTATCTACATGAAGATCATTTTTGAGGTGAAGTTGAAAAAAATAGACAATTTTAAAAAGGTCCGGCAATATGGGTAGGCTGGGATGAAGGCGGACAATTTGAAATATCACTGGAAATCGGGATCAATTGGACAAGGACAGAAATTTCAATAAGTCATCTTGGGTGCCCCTAAAAGAATTAACACAAGGGCTCTTTAGCAAAAAAAAAGGCGTAACCAACAAGGGCGGGTACTGTCGGCTGTTGACCCGATGGTCCCTGCTATCCATCCAAAACATTTCTTGTTTGCCGTTCTGGCCTGGGAGGAATTTTCGAGATTTTCCAAAAAGATTCGTTTCCCTACGAGGACCCGCGGAAAATCTGTCAGATGGTGGCTGCGGTCTTAAAACGAACAGTTAGGGGGGGGGGGGGGGGTGGAATATACCATCTGGACAATTTTCATATAAGGGGTCCCACTGACTGCCTAAAGTGATGGCCCGCTACATTTTTGCTTCAGTGATTCCATATGTAATCAACCAAATATTTCCAATAAATAAGGAGGGGACGGGCCCTCAGGTCACCTAGATCCGCCTATGGTAGCACTATCTTAACATTTTTATTAGGCATTGGATTATTGAAATTTGAGAAAATAACAATTTATGTATTTTTAGCAGCAAATTAAAAAATATTGACCATAAATTATGATAACTCTTTACCGTGAAAGGGTAACTTTAAAAGAATTATATACATGTACATATAATTTGAATTTCACTGAACATGCTGAAAGCCCATTACAGAAAGATGTTTCTCAAAATTAGTATATTGTCTTTCTTTTAACAAAAAAAAATAAATTTTACTTTGAAACAGAACTCAATGTTTATAACATATAATACATATGACTTTTTGTCTTTGACTTTTTGTCTGTGACTTTCTGTCCTATATTCTGACCGTAATCATGACCAAGAAAAATGACTTTATACCTTGCATCAAATTTATAGAAACACTTAGATTGAACCATTAATTTTATCAAATAAGAAAGTATTAAATGCTTTTCAAACATATTAGCAAACGATAAATGTATTGACTTTCGAGAACATTTGACATACCTCAAGTTAAGTCGTTGAATATGTTTACTTATATTTTATTAAAATATTTAAAACTACCAAGATATCGTGCATGCAGGGGCTCGGGCATACCTAAAGTAGTCCGCGAAATGTTTATTTTTTTTAATGAAAATATTTAAAACTACCAAGATATCCTACACAAGGCTCGGGCATGCCTTAAGTTGTACGTGGAAATAATTATTTACGGTTATGAAAATATTAAAAAACAATTATATTGGATTTATCAACTAACATGAATTTTTGACCTACTTCACACCTTTTGTGTGTTACTTTATATTTGTGATCAAACGTGTCAAATTATAACCGGTAATATACAACAAAATTTACAACACAGTAAAATACAATATACTACTCAATACCATAAAAAGTTTAAATGACCTGGTGCCCGTCTCAGTACCCTTAACTGTTTTTCCCAGTTTTTTTATTATTTGATAAAGACTTTACCATTCAATCTTAATGGTTTGTTTTTATACATGTATAAATTTTAAGCAAATCCTATAAGATATAAATAAGTATTAGGTAGTACAACGATCAGGACACAGTCAACGTTGGTCAGGTCAAGGTTTTTTTTACCCAAAAACATATATTTTCCCCCTTTTTTTTAATGATATAAAATAACACAGAAATTGTCATCGGTTAGGTCATTGCTGTTGTTGGTCAGGTCATTGTCAACGTTAGAAGGGTCACGATTTCGGAATTTATCGGAATTTTTTAATATTTTTTTCTATATTTTTTCATATAGTTATATATTAAATGATCAAATTTTATTATATTTCAAATTTAACATAAATCCTTTAAGAAATAAAAAAGTAATGAGCATTTTCATTTGGTCCTGTCATTGTCAGCGTTTGTCAGGTCACGTTTTATGAAGATTTAAAAGTTTTCTATATTTTTTCTTATATTTATGTATTAAATGGACTAAATTTATAGCAATTCAAATTTGACGAAATTTTTAAGAAATAAAAAAGTTATTAGCATTTTCGTTTTGGTCCAGTCATTAGTGTAACCCGTCAAAGAAAGATAATTCGTATTGTGAGGAATATTGCACAATGTCCATTTTTTAGAAATTAATTTCAGATGTTTCTAGGTAGATTCCCCATATCTTTTTTTGATTTTTGATAAAAACAAGACTGAAATTAATTGTTTTTGTGTTTCTTTTTAATAGATGTAGCCGCATAATTTCACAACACTACACCAAATATTGTATTTTTCCCAAAATTCCCAACTTTCTCCGCTGTTACCTTGGTAACCAACCAATATATATATCGGTTGGCATTATTTTTCTGACTAGGCTAATAGGATATACATATCAGCCAATTTTCAGAAAGATCGGTGACTATGTGTGCCGAAAAAGTTTAAGTGGTTACAGAGAATGAGTATTAAAAACATATATAATTGTGCATTTCTGAACATTTAACCCCAAAAAAACATTTTCAGATTACTCGGGACTGCAATTTAGATATATCATGACCCAGTATTTTTCAAGGAGAACCAAATATCTGTCAGAAGTTAACTATGTATTACATTTTGGAAACAAATTAATTTTTGTTGGTCAGTGATGTCATTCGAAATAGAATTTTAATAAAACATATAAAATTTGCAATATTGTTTTAAAAAGGCATGGAACAGCAATTTTTAGTGCAAAATAACTATTTTATGAATGAAAATCCTTTTTAAGTATATAATTCGGACTATGCAATATATAAAAATCCAATAAGATTCGACAGTTTTCCGATTTTTACCTCATAAGTTCACCATATGCAGGAGAAAAAAGCCCCACAGAAACAATCAGATCTACCATCAAAATTAAAGTTTCCAGATAACGAAAAATATTCAGATATGAAATTTGCAAGTTACAACTTCTGACAAGGATCCTAACATGGGATAGGGAAACATTTTGTTAGCAAAAATAACTGAAATCCCCAGATTATAGCAACAAGACAAGATTTTATGAATTAGAACGCCAATAACAACAACAACAACAACAATAATTCACAGTAAAACAATAGTTTTCCATTAAGAGACATAACAACGAGTGGCGATTTTTCTTTGTTTTTTTTAATTTTTTGTTGTTGTTGTTGAAGAGTATATATAATTTATATAATTTTAAAACGCCATCCTAGCGCCTGTGTGACAACATTTTTGTGCGGACCTTCATTAATATCAGAGACGTACTCAGTAATAAAATATTATTTCTCTTTTACTTGTAGTTGATTTCATCTGGACCTTAACACAAATTTTAATCAGAATCATTCATGCGTAAAATATAGGTCGAAGTGATCAACTTTTTTTAAGGTCCTTTGTTATTATCACAGATGTGCGATCTAAAAGATATCATTCCTCTATGACTTGTAGTTGATGAGATTTTGTATTTTAATGCAAAACTTAACCAGAATTAAATTAGATCGAGGCGACCCATTTTTTTCATGGACATTCGTTACTATTCAAGATGTGCGCACTAATAGTAAATCATTCCTCTTTGACGCACAGTTTGTTCCGATCTAGGCCTTAAAAGGCAAAACTTAGGCCGTTAGTTTTCTCAGTTGAATGTTTCATATTTTTCATGTCGGGGCCTTCTATAGCCGACGATACGGTATGGGTTTTTCTCATTGTTGAAGGCCGTACGGTCGCCTATAATTGCTTACATCCACTTAATTTGAACTATTGGATAGTTGTCTCATTGGCAAACATACCACATCTTCTTATTTTTATATTAACCGTGACTGACGGACAAACAAACGTAGTAAACGCTATATCCACTCCCAAACTCCGTTTTCCGAAGGGATGATAAAGAGATGATAACTATAAATGAAAATGTTAAACTGGGTCTGGAAAAGAGTAAATTTTCCAAATAAAAGTTTATATTTCGATATGAGCATCAACTATAACCAAAACAGATGTTTATCTGAAGTAGTGAAATATGATCGATGCTTTCATATATGATAATTTACCTCTTTGGTAAAGACTGCTGCTCATATTTAGAAGACAAACTGCTTTACGTGCTAAAAAGCTTGCAAAAGTTGGATACAATTGATGTAAAGTTATGTTAAACGCCTACAATGAATTGCTTTAAACTGCATTTTTCATATCTGTTAGTTACTAAATCATGTAAAAATAATTTGAAAATCGAAGACAAATAATGGCTTTATCATGACATATATAAGCTGGCAAGATATGAGACTTAGATCTTATAGACAGCTGACTATTTTATTCAAAATGTATGCCATTTAAACTGAATATCGACTATAAAGTGGCACCTAGTAATAGTTCTTCAGTAGGAAATGAACTCGAGGTATATAGTATACAAACTGTCCTCTTATATTTTATTATTATTAATCATTATTTTACTTACATTATGCAATGCGTATTTCTTATGACGAACAGAACTAGTTAATGCATTAAACTCTTAGTTTCATCATTTCCTCGGAATGAACTACCCCTAAACTTATTAGATTATGTCTGTCCAATTTGCAGACAATAGCAGGCGTTATTTTTTCTCTGATAAATTTTCACTCAAATTGCCTAAATTCCATGACTTTAATAACTGTTTCATTTTGTTTTCAGGCCATTATCAATTATGACTGGATTCGGCAATTTCCGATAAAAATTTACGAAGTTTGCCGAATTTGAACCACCGACATCACTATCATCAATCATTATCATCACTATGACTGATCATCACCTTCATCAACAATACACATATAATGTTGTGACCACTGCATATAATGTTCCGACAACTGCATATAATGCTATCACGACTGCATATAATGTTGTGACCACTGCATATAATGTTCCGACAACTGCATATAATGCTATCACGACTGCATATAATGTTGTGACCACTACATATATTTTTTTAATCACTGCATATAATGTTGTCACGACTGCATATAATGTTATGACCACTGCATGCATATAATGTTGCAACCATTGCATATAATGTTGTGACCACTGCATATAATGCTGTCACGACTGCATATAATGCTGTGACCATTGCATATAATGATGATCATCAACATAAGGCAGACAATGCGTTCCATAATTTAAAGATGCATTTAGGAACATGTTTATTGACTATATTATCAATTATAAATATTCTATTATCATCTGTTCTTTTACACAGGAACATATGAATCAAACTCTATGGATATTTATTGTACAAACACAGTTATTTCTACTTCTCTAACGATCTGGTTTCACATTCCGAGGAAAATGTGAAACTATGCAAAAGACCATACAGTGACCTACAGTTATAAACTTCTATGTCATTCGGTGGAGAGTTGTCCCATTGGCAATCACACCACATGTTCTGATTTTTTTTACTCATACACTTTTTTCATGCATTCATGTTGGTGAGATTTTTTTTTCTATTTAACATGTCTACTGTTAGTACACACACCGTACATAGTTGTAACAGATGTGAGACGACGACATAAAAGTCATAGGAACAATATTTGATGTAATACATACGTGAATGACACCAAAACACACACATTATTTTTGACTGTCGGCATATTTTAAGCATAAAATAAGATTAACATACCATAAGATCCGGGTCTACTTTCCTCATCGGATGTTTTATTTAATCCTGCAATAATACAATATGTCAAGCTCTAAATAAGTCCAAATAAAATAACAGTTTTTTTTTAAAACATTACACTGAAAATTTCAGAGAATAAATTCTTCAAATAATAAAAAAACCTTTTTCTTAATTCTGCAAAACATGGTTCTTGTATTAATTGACACTGGGTTTTCAATTGCAAGTATTCTTAGATTTGTGTTTTGCGTCTGTTAATTATTTGTCTTTTAGTGTTGTGCTTAGTACTTGTTTAAACATTGAAGCCCTTTCAAACTGATTCTTACTGTTTGCACGTATTATGTGCTGTAAAACCACTTTCCGCGGTTAAGAGTGTGGAGCACACAGAAACATGTAAACAAATATGTATGTATCTATCCCCATTCAAGGGCCTGTTATCCATTGGTTAACGTTGGTTGTTGTCTCCATAATTAGTGTTCATTTATTTTTTAGCATAAGCCACGCCGGTAGTTTAATGACCATGAATTTTCTAGTTATATTTACGGTATGGGTGTAGCTTCTTGTTGAAAGACATACAGTGATCCTTAGTTGTGTACATCCCAGTAGTTTTTTGGTCTCTGGTGGACAGTTGTCTCATTTGCAGTCATACCACATTTCCTTTTGTAATATTCAATTTTTTCACAAAGCCTAACAAGATTTTGTATCATAGAACAGGCACAAGGAATTGTAGTTGTGTTTAGATAGTTTTTATTCTACCAGATGAAATATGTTCAAAAGTAAAAACAAAAAAATTCTAAAAATAAGAAATCTGTAAAATTGGTTGGACACACATGACATGAATAAATTGAATTACCGTGAAATTGCGTTGTTGTTTCATCACCTGGCATAAAATTGTCATCTGTAATAAATAGTTTGCATGTCACAGTGTATATCTTTTACTATATATGCTATAGTTAATAAATTCCACCTATTAAAAAACCTCCAAACGTTTTAAAACAAACAAACAAACAAGCAATGAAAACATGGAAACAGAAACAAAAAATAAGTCATACTCTCTACCAGAGAGAAGATTACTTAAAAATAGCAACTATAGGTGACACCATACGGCCTTCAACGGCCTCATGTCTGTTATCAATTCAAAACACACATATACGATACATGTACACATATATCTATATAAACTTACCACGAGATGTTGTACTCCCGTCGATTTCTGAGGAATGGCCAAGCTCATCCTAATGATAGCCCGGTGTATTAATGCCCCCCAAAATGGGTCACGAATTACATATTTCAAACAATTTAAAGATGCATTTATTTACATGTTTATTGATTATATTATTAATTATGAATATTCTATTATCATCTGTTCTTTTACCCGGACACATTTGAACAAAATTCTATGGATATCTATTGTACCAAACACAGTTATCTCTTCTTCTCTAACGATCTGGTTTCACATTCCGAGGAAAATGTGAAACTATGGAAAACTTTGAACGAAAATCAAATGCATGATATAAACCTAATAATTGATATATTATATTTCAACTCAGGTTTATTACATTACCATAAAGTATAATTGCACTACTTAGAAACCATATCAGGAGTTATAAAGCTACAAATAGTCTAAAGTGACCATCAAATTGTACAACACATGTATTTCGTGTTTTTTCTTTATGTACCATGAGGTGCAGTCATCGATATTTGAAGGAATAAAGGAAATTTGTGCGCTTTCGCACTTTTGAATTATTTTTATTAACTACGATCATTTCTGAAACACATTTATTTAACATTGTTACTTTAAACATTTTGACCCTGCTTTTCAAATAAACATCTGTGTTTAAACTGTGTGCTCAAGTTTTAGGACATACTATCTTAATAGGGAAAAGTTGATGATGTTTGTGCGAACTTAAACTTGTTTAACCAAACCACAGTTGTTCGTAGTTGATTAAAAAAGTGAGCATTTGAAGAACAATTTTGACAACGCAATATGTAAGCAGCTAACCTCATACACGGATCAATGGTTGTCTGGAAATTTAATTTTAGCTTCGATCCCATCAAATAATTGATATTAAAAACCCAATTTTTGATATTTTCTATTATCTCACCATGTATAAACTCGGGATGATTGAACACAACAACTGCTCGTTGGTCCCCTTGCATGTATGTTTCTTTATTTATTATGTTTAAGGATTGTTACCTCGTCGATGTATAATGCACGTCACATTATATGTATACCAAATACACAGAATGAAAGGGACTGCGCATTTCTTATGTGATATTCCATAGCTTTTTAGAATAGTATTTTTCGTTAACAGTTAAGTCACTGTACATATAAAATATTTCTCGCAGCTGTCTTTCTTTGACCTAGTTATCATTTGTGATTCCCTTATCCTCCCCGTGTCCTTTGTCTTCCAACATTATTCTTTAATAAGACGTTTTACCCTTAACACGCTAAAACAGTGACTGCTTGATATACTGAATGTCATTTTGTATAAACAAAAATTCGCCGAAATCTTGTTCAATTTTGCAGTGACTGCAATCTTATAATATCAATAAGAAAACTTGTAAATGTTAAATATCTTACCTTTACAATGAAAAAAGAATATTGAAATGCGTGTACTTATTCAAAAATGGAATAAATGACACTGTGCACCCAGGAAATCCATTACAGAAAACCGATTTTTTATTGAATAACAGACTTGTTGAAGATATTCGATATTGACATCGTTCTTGTCCGTCGTACCAAGCTCGCTTGATATGTAAACTTTTATTTTCAGGACATTTAAGTTGGTAGTAGTGGTTGCGTTCTATGGAAATACATATTTTTCCTAAAAAAGTAAACTTTGCTATTTTATATTTGTTCAAGTAAATATATTATTTATTTGTATCACGACTAGAGCCATTAATGGAGCAGAAACTGCCACCCATTCCGCAGAATCTGGGTTTACCAGGTAAGTAATAATAGGGTTCATTTTGACAGGTATTTTCTGTGACTATGGACTGGTGTGTGTAGTTTAGATTTGTTTTGGTCGTGGCATCGACTGCTTTTAGTGAATGTTCTGTTTTCTGAAATTTGTGGAAACTAATATCATAATAAACGTTCATTTCAAAAGAAAAAAAATATAAAAATTATATCGATAATTAGTATGTTTCTCTTTATCTAAATCACAAACTTCCGGAGCACCTTGGTCTACCACGGAAGTAAAATAGGATTAATGTTGTAGAGTCTTTAGATTTCTGTGATTAAATACTGTTGTGTGTATTTTCGATTTGCTTTGGTCATGGCATTGACTGCTTTTCATGATTTTTTTAATCTTGAAAACATATATCACAATAGAATTTCCTTAAAAGAGAAGAAACTATATATAAAATTTGTCAATTTCTCTTAATCATGATTAAAACTAAATTCGCCAGTAAATTCATTTTTGTATACGTTTGACATAGATTTATATCAATGGATTAATAAAGCAGTGTTTTATTTCAAATGAAGCTTAAATCAACTGACTGTTTTTATATTGTAAGCTATTTCAGGTATAAAAATTGAAGGCATGATACCCTAATTGTTGCCTTAGAATTAGAAAATTGAACAAAAAGTAGTATAATGGTTTCAATAACACCCGTCATGTTTATATTTGGTTAAATATTAAGGAATGGTTAACCTGTATCACAATCACATGGTTCGTTCCTTCATACTTCAATTGGTGATAAAATAAAAAGGATCAGCTATTAAAAAATACAAAGAGTGAAGGACGACAGTATTTTCTGTACTTACTGCGTGTATTCAGAAACAGATATGTTTAATCTAAAATATTGTTTATTACTCTTTCTATTATATTTCTATTTGATTTTTTTGGGTCTATTTACCTTTTGTTAATCCTGTTATCCTACTGACTGAGAATACAAATTTGGGTAAGGGAATATGAAAAAACGCTTCATATTCATTTATCTATTCAAAGTCAGGATCCTAGTCAATGGGTGACGTTTGGCATATTTTATTTGTTTTGATATTTGAAGGGTTTTGGGTTAATGGCAAATCATCGAAAGTCTTTTTTAAATTTATAAACTTTATGTATAGACTAGGGAAAATCAAGATTTGGGTATATATATGTCCACTGTTGAAGACTGAACGATGTCATTTGGATGTCATTGGATTGTCATTGTCGTTGGGTTGATCTCTAATTAGCATTTATCGAATACCTTTTTTAAATAGAGAGGCTGAAGATACCAAAGGGACATCCAAACTCATACATATACATTGTATGGGAAAGATTCATAAGTATTAAACCGTGAAAAATATATATAACCGATTTCTTATTCCCAATGAACATACCATTGAAGGATTAAATGCCTATACCTTTCGAAAATAACCTTCTTTAAATACAAAAGTGATCGCAAGTAACAAAAGACATGATTGTGTTTTCGATCGAAATTTGATATTTTACACGAAAGTTTCAAAAATGTATTAGTGTGCGTTTTTATCGAGTGAGTACTGAGGTAGTTCTCATTTCTAAGTTAAGAAAATAAAGAGTTACCAACCATTTGTCGAGTATTTGACTGAACTATCAATTATTCCAAATATTGAAAAATACGAGACGATCTTTGAGAACATATTGGAAACACAAAAATGTAAACGTATCAAGTTTTATAACTAACTTCCTGATTGGATTTAATTTTCATTTGATGCATGATGTGCAACTTATTTTAATTAGTGTAAAGGGAAAAAACTTACAACTATATGGAGAAGGAATTATGAACAGTTTTATATGTCAAGTGTATAATATTCGGATTGAAGGTCGTCTCATAACGGAAGAAAACAACAATTTTCCACCAGAGCTCATCTATAAATCTTCCGTGTTACATACTTAAAAATCTGTTTTGAAGCTTAGTTGTATTCCTATATTTGTGTCTGTGAGATTCCTTTTCTTGCGCGGACTATTTTTCTTGACACACTTTGCCAAGTTGTACCAACTATTTTTCTGTTTGCAAAAGAATCATTTTTGTAACAATCAAAAAGTATATTTAGAGAACACTTTATCTTCGATAAATCATTGTTTGAAAAATGACCGAAAGACTGCAAATTATTTTATGATTTATTTTCCAGTTTTCAGTCGTTAGAGAACTGTTGATATCAGAACTGATTTACTAGAGGTTTAGATTTAAGGTAGAAGAACAATATTTAAAAACATCAAAGGTTAAATATGACGCACACAAACAGGGAATATCACAAGGAATCATTAACACCCTTTCAAGTCGTATTAAGAAGTTAAAGCAACATCAAGGACATGATTAAACCAGAAACAATTTATTCGGGATTTTTCTTTAAGCATCAATGATGAGTCTAATATGGACGAAATGCGCGTCTGGTGAAAACTTATAATCCTGGTATCTATGATGAGATCATTTCCATTGCTTCGGGTTATGAAAGGTGAGTTTAGTGATATAATGTCAGAAATAGGGGCATCTCTTTTTTTTTTGGTCAAAAAAAATGCGTATATTACTCCTTGGTTTGCCCGTTAACAAATATCATACTTATGTTTCTCAATGAGAGGCGAAAGGTACCAAAGGGACATTCCAACTCATAAATCAAAAACAAACTGATAATGCCATGGCAAAATAAAGAAAAAGTCCAAAAGACAAACCACAGTAAACAAAACACAACATAGAAAAGTAATGACTAAGCAACACAAACCCCACAAAAAAATTGGGGATGATCTCAGGTACTCCGGAAGTGTATGAAAAACCTGTTCCACATGTGAACAATGTGCACAAGTTATTAGATGAGCGAGAGGATTTACTGATGAATTAATATTACTAGATCAGCTACATTTTACAATAAGTAAGTAGTGACAAATCCGATAAGAAAATTTTCTCCGTTTACGATTTTCTAATTG